GGAGGGAAGGTTTGGTATGCGTGTGATACGGTGGAGAGACGCTCTTGCCCGATCTCTCGCAAGGATAATAGGTAATCGCGGTGGAGAGCGCGTTCGTTCCGCGATTGTTTAACCCACCAGTCATTCTCGATCGAGCGGCAAACTTTTCGTACGATGCGCATTAGTTGCCGCGTTAGTTTCGAACCTCGATATCGAACGTTTTATGCAAAATTGGTGGTTCGATTAGGCGCGTTAACGAGGGATTCGAGGCGATCGAAAAAATTGTCCGTTCGTTTTTTCGTTATTCTCGTCCATTTTTAACCAATTGTTATTCGCGTAGCACGAAAAAAAAAAAAGTTATTTATCGACGGCGAGAAATCCGCAGGGTTTCGCGTTGATTAAAATTATAATGTAATTGCGGGATGCCGAATACAATGGGCGGCTGATGAAGTGGAGGATGTCCGACCAATGCCGGAGCTATTCTACTTGCCGCCGCTCGTACTTGTTTTCATTGGCTACGTGCGGATTCTCTTTAATTTGTTTCTCCCATCGATCCTGTTCAAATTATGAATGGTATTATGTATGCGGTGACCATTGTTAAATGACGAATAAATAATATTCATTTTCAGTGGAAATACGATTAATTGATAACTTGTAATAATACGCAAATGTATTATAATAATTACAAGTGATCGCAATTATTTATTAATAGCTTCGCATTTATGTTCCATCACGGAGCATTTAAATCGAATTCTTTTCAATTAAATTGGAAAATATATTTAAAAAAGGAGAGGGTATAACACAATTTGACGATATTTCACGCGATTTACTCTTAAAAGGAGATCACATAATCGAGTTCAAGTACAAGGTCGAAAAGAAACATGGTCAAGATTCGAAGCGCGTACAATTAATCGTCTATTTCGATTCATTGATGGTGCGAGTTGAAAAAACTCGAGGAATAATACGTAAATATAGCGCTATTTCTTAATATCTTTACTTTGTATCGCGAAGCATTCAAATCTTTCAAATTAAATCGAATAGAAAATACTTAACAAGGAGAAAGTATACAATTCGACGATATTTTACGCGATAAGCTTCAAAAGGAGATGACATAATCGAGTTTAGTACAAAGTCCTTCATCCTCGAAAAGAAAGACGGCCAGGATTCGAAGCGCATCCAATCGTGTTAATCCATCGCGTCGTCTATTCCCGACTCGTTAGTGAGTCGAAACTCGAAGAAACGAGGGGCGAGGTAATCCTTATCGATCAAATTTGACCAGGGAAATCGCGTTCGGGGCCGTTGGGATTCGGAGAAGCGTGTCGGCCCATCGCGAATGGATCGAGGGGGAAGGAACTTATCTACGGAGGTTGAAAGCTTTATAAGCTTTCGATGAGGCAGAAGTATGGCGCGTAACGCGGAAAGTTGGCTACGCGATCGCGAAATTCACGGCTCAAACTTTCCTCGCGCCCTTATTCCCCCGAAACCGGCGTAATGGGCTTCCGTCAACGATCAAGAGACGCTTCAACTTTTGCGCATCTTTCCTAACTTTAACGCCAGGAAAGCGTAAGATTCTCTTCCTGTTCGCGGGCGAAGAGAGAAGAAATTCAGAATGTTAAAATCGAATTAATATCCGAGAATTGTTCGTTTCTTCCCTCCTTTATTTCGTTTTGGAAAGGATCGTTAATTACATCGCAACTGGGACCACGCGAATAATCTAATTATTTGCAACAATTGCCTTTGAGAGATACACGTTGAGGAAGATGCATCAATTGTTCGAACCAATTAGGTGATAGCGATAACATCGAACACGTTTCAAGACAGAGGTGTTTCGCCACTTCGTGCGAAACGTCTCTCAGGAGAGCGAACGGTGTCACGATTATTATTGCTCTTGTAATTTGGAACTGAATTTATACTTGTGTTTTGACCATTACCGTGACTGGTTATGCAGTGCTGAACGATAAATAAAATATGCGAATTTAGCTGAATGGATATATTTTAGTGAATGCGCGTATCTGTTTACACAACAACCGAAAATCGCGTATCGAAGATAAACAAAAGGATATCAACTATGAAATAGTGACACTGCTAGCAATGTTCAATAATAAAATTATAAATAAAATTTCAGTGAACTTTATACTCAACAATATAACAATTACGAAACGGGTTAATGGAACGAGAGCAACAATGGAAAGAAGCTATATATATATATATATATATCGATATACCAGATTATTTCGAAGGAATCAGGTTCGAACGACAAACAGGTGACCAAACAAGGCCGTTGTCGGTGACACGAGCCTTATGGTAATTTTATAGAAAATCGATATAGGCGGCGTGGTATATCCGAACGTCCGAATCAAATATTCGAAAACATTGGCGGTTGTCCTGGCGGAAAGCATCGTGGCAGGCGTCCCAGCCAAAAAATATTCTGTTGTTTTTGTTCCCTGGACAAACCACGCGGCGGATACACTTGGCCGAAAAAAAATCTGTTTTCCAAACAGATTGTTGTCGGGCCGAATCCGATTTTCAATCCGCGATCGAATCCAATTCCAATTCTTACCTCTTCTTTTCTTTTTCTTTTTTTTCTTCTTTTACGTTCGAAAATGTTCGAAGAAATAATTTTCACTAAAAAAAAAAAATTATTATTAAATCGAAATCAAGTTAAAAACAGTTACGAGCGTGGAGTTAAAAAGAAATTCCCGTCTCGAGGAATGATGTTATATTAAATATTAAAAGTAAAGTTAAATCTAGTCCAGATAACCATACATAATTTCTTCTTCTAATGTGCCTCTTAATGGAGAATGCATTAACGTATTCGATAACCGAAACGAGGAAATTATGATTATGAAAAAGTAGCCGGTGTAATTTTCCAATCTTTCGAAAGGTTCGAGTGTCTGATCGGTATCGAGCAATTATTCACCACTTAGATTCGATGGATTAGATTCGCCATTTCTCTATCGGCGACTTAATTGCTTCTGTCCAGGTGTTTTGAAACGGATGTTGGCTGCCACACGCGCGTCCGATTTAATGGCAGTCTAATAACCCAATTAAAAGGAGATTGGCTCGACCAACGAGAAACGTAGCCGCGACCTACACACGCTCGTCCGATTAATCGCTCAATTCTCTCTCGACTCCATTCCTCTCGGTCTCGCAACGCGTTTTTCCTCCATCTTGGCGCCCCTGCGAACGCCGGAAACGGAGGAAATAAAATTTTCAACCCGATACCTAGGCGCGTATTAAATTAAATCGAGCCGAGTAAATATTAGTTCTATCGTTCTTTATTTCCACGTGGCGCGAAACGCGCACGATCATAGTTTTTCAGAGAATGAAACGAAGGAACAGCATTCGGTAAACGGCACTTTTCCACCTTTTGTTCGTCCGGCGCCACGCGGTAAACCATAGTCCAGTTTTACTCCGCGACAGGGGAGAACGGTGGAAAACGGAATATTCCGGTGGGGGGTCGGTTGAAAGTCGGTTTGATGCGAAAACATTCCACGTTCAATTACATCGTGGAAACTGGCATCCATTAAAGGCCCCCTCTCCTACCGTTTTCCCTCGTTTTTCCCGCTTTCGAATCGTTCCACCTCGGACAATCGCTTCGCTCGCGACGAATTATTATATTCGATCGATAATCCCTCCAACGATACGGGACAAACGTAACGAAACGTGTAAATCGAACGGCTTGTTGTTTCGTCGTTGTAGGGGGAGAGAGGTTGAAAGATGTCGGCCATTATCTTTGGTTAATCGTTCGAGAATTCGATGGAGTTTGAGGCCGAGTGGGGAGAAATGGAAACAGGTCGATTTTCGAGCGGGGGAGGCAGATCGGCGAGTGTGTCGAGCAAAGAGTGGAGCGCAATTACGATTTTTCCCACGGGTCGGATTATACGGTCGAGTCGATTATACGGTTAAAAATTTCTCCCATTCCCCCCCTTTTAAAAATCGACTTTCCATACTTGCTCGAGAAACGAGTGGCAAAAGTTTTTCCCACTCGGTTCGTAGAGATCGTATATCGCGCGTTCTATGCGAGAACGGAATGGAAAGAAACGGGAGGAGAAAAGCGTCGTGTCGAGCGCCGCCGTTCCTTCGAAAATATACGGAACGAGGGACGAGACGATGCCACGATTTCACGAACGAGTCGAACGCTCGAGAGCTCGACTCGATTCTTGCGTTTTTTCGACTGGCAAAAAAAAAAAAAAAGAAAAAAGAAGAAAAGAAAAGAAAGGAAAGGAGGGGAAATTCAGCATAGAGCGAACGAACGAGAAGGATGAATCGGAACGGGCGGAGCGGAAATTCACGCGGTTTTCCGATTGTGGTTGTCATCCCGCGTCCCACTCGATGGCCCACTCGATTCGAGTGGAAATCCAATGGACGAGTAGTGGCGGGCATCGGTAAATGAACGAGGTCCAGCCGTGGAATGGCCGCCTGACTTTTTTTTTTTTTTTTCCCACCCACTGCTCACCTCACAGCCACGCTCCACATTAATTAATGCCGCGGGTCATTGTGCTCGGATTAAAGGATCCCATGGTGGGATCGTAACGCGTATGATCGCAATTTAATACCTTACGATGCGACACGTTCAAATATTGAATCGTTTCTTTCTGAATCGAGTTTCTGCGTAATAATAACTCGTTTGCTCGTACGATTTGCGATCTTCCATCCATTTGCGCACGCGGGAGTAAACTTCGAATTAATTTCACGGAGGAGGAAAAACATTGGGAGAAATTCTCGACGGATGACCTTTCAACTGGCAATGCTTTCGTCCAACTTTCTTTTTTTCCCAAATGTTGATCGAAGGGGACAGCGATACGATGACGGATCGCAGAGCGAGGACAACGTTACCAATTTTCATTCATCCCTATCGTTCATCGATTTGTCTAGGATAGAAACGTTGTAACGGAAACGGGTACCGTGTAAACCTTTTACCGCGATAAGAGGTTTACGAAGTAGCATGCCTGCACACGAAACTACGTTTCCCACCGATAAAACGAGATGCGATTCATGACTGGCGTGAGAGAGAGAGAGAGAGAGAGAGAGAGTAAATCTTGGAATTGTAACGTTCGGAGCTGCTGCGTGCTCGCCGATGCCATTTAATCAAACATTATCGTATCAACGTTACAACGTTATCATGTGAATGGCTATTATTTACTGTGTTAATCGCAGAAGACGTGAAATATATATATATATATCAAAACTAGGACTTTCAACGTGTAAAAAAAAAGAATCGGGTATTCGATTTCGAAGATCGAAAGCGGGATCGGGATTGGAAAGTCTAAGAGGATGGAAAGGAGTTCTCATCCGAGAAACGAACATCGTGCGGATGGAATCTCGATATGTCTTCCATTCCATATCTTATCGCGAAGATATCGGGGTCGGTGCACAGGTGTTTCCTAACGTAAATTTCGGAAGACGTCCAGAAGGTGGAAACGTAATTCGCAGGGGAGCAAGCAGCGACGTACGTACGGGAGGGTTCACCAGCCACTTATTTAAGCGAAGTTTAAGCCGCTGGTCGGTCTACACCTGCTCGTAATTGTCCTGATATTTAGCCCGGTTCCTGCCATTCCTTCCCCACATCTGGAGCTTATTTATTAATTGACCCTAAACTCTGCCACTGGTGTGCATCCGGCTCTCTCTCTCTCTCTCTCTCTCTCTGTTTTTAGCCGGGCGAGCACGCGAATGCTCATCGGCACGTGAACAATGCCGCCGTCAGAGTATAATTAGAATGGAATAGTAATGAGCGCGATAAAAGGATGCTCCCTCCTCCCTCGTTAAAGAGTCGGGAAGCCTCTGATACGCTTCGTGGAACACCGATTTATACCTCCAAACGATCCTCGTTAACATAATTCGGATTTTTCGTTTACTTTTGTTTCGATGTATGTTTTATATATATATATGTGTGTGTGTGTGTGTTATAAAGTAGAAATTAATTCCATCGATTAAATCGATTCGTATATATTCCTTTTCGAAAGAATAATTAAAAGTTGTACGTCTTCCATATTTATTGGATTCTTAATAATCGTCGTGGAAACAATATAACAATAATAAAAAGAATAGCGCTGAAATTAATGTACAATCGAACGGAACGCGCGTGTAACGCGAACGATTTAATTAAAATATTAATTCAAAATATAAATCCTTTTGGATCTATTTCAAAAAACATGGAAGGTTGTCGCAATTTTTCACCGTTCCGTCCATCCGGGATACGTGACGACGTGGCCGACGTATACATAAAAAGTGTCTCGTAGATCTCGATTCTGATATTTTCCCTCCCCTCCCCTTTTCTCATATTTTTTTTCCGCGAAAAATTTGCAGAGCTCTGGAAAGGAGAGAGCGGAAACGGTTGTCGGGCCCTGTGAAATACATCGACCGCTCAACAATTATTATTCACCGGCCTCGCAACCATGGACACCTCACGGCCTTCTATACATTTTCGAGCGGTCCGCAAAGCAAATTTCTCCCATATTACGCCGCCACTTACATACTTGCATATCGTTCATTCTCCATTTCCATCCACCATTTCGGAAAAAACTTTCCGATTCTCTTTTCATTGCTCGAAATCATCTCCCTTTCTCTCTCGATCGCATCACAGCTAGCATTCTCGCCACGGAATTCGACGTGTCCACGTGCGATTCCAATAGCCTGGAATCCTCCGGGGAGGAAGACACTCGCGCGACACGTGTAAACAGCCCCAGGGCGAGCTCCCCCCTCCCTCTTCCTTCGCTTTCGAAATTCGTTTACCTCTTAAAGTAAATTTCAAAGTCCTCCTCTCAAAGGAAGCGATTGGATAGTAGAATGTCTTCTTGTTTCCATAACTTTCGTTCACGTAGCCACTGGTCTACGTCATCCACATACGTATCCATCCCAAGGCAAGGATGAAAAAGGTTGGTATTTAAAACCCCTGTTCCGTATCGTGGCTGGTAGCAACGACGCTCGTAATCGCCTCTTATCCTATTTAACCGGCATAATCACGAACCGAGATGAAAATTATTTGAAATCCATTATGCATAATATTCTCCGAGGACGGTGTATTTTTGTGTGAGGCGATTACAGGAGCGGATCGATGAGACGGCGGGGAGGACAAATTTCACTCGTTGTCCGTTGGCTCGAAGGAGTTTCTGTTTCGAATCGGTAATTCGTCGACGCACAGTCACTATCGACGATCGTTTCGCAGCGCGGAGGAATGGAAGGAAAGGCAAGGGAGGAGGGTGGAGGAGGATTTGATCGATTTTTCGAGGGGCGTGCCGATTTCGGGATCCGGGAAAGACGGGATCGAGTCGGCCAATTTCGAGCGAGCGGATGCTACGTGTCGGCACGAATCGAGCTCGTACGCTGTAAAATTTCCCGGCCAGCCGTAAGTGGGCTTTAACGTTTCGCGTCGATCGTGAATCAACACCTCGTGAAAATTGCGTTTGCGATAAAAAAGGAAGGAGAAAAAGGAAAAGAGGAGAAGAAAAAAAAAAAAAAAACGAAACGAAACCGTGTCGATATTGCGATTTTACCGATCGAGTTCATCGTTCGATGAATTTCGAGCCACCGATGAATTTTTATTCCAGGGCGTCGGCGGTGTCTCTGGCGAGGAACGATCGGTAAACACCGAGGCAACGTTTTTTTCGATGAAGCAACGGTAAAAGCGGAGCGCAATTGCTCGTTCAGGGGCGAGACACCTCATCCGTTCTTCGTTCTGGTAAAATAAAAAAAAAAAAAGAAACGGTAGGATAGGACGTGTTTGTTGTCACGATTCATTCTCGATCGAAGGACGACGCGTATGCAATACGCGATTACTCCTCGGAACCAAAGCTCGTTTCTTCTCGATCTCGCGTCGTACCGCGCGAGATCGAGATTCCCGAGGGATTCTCGCAACGACCCCTCTCTCGAAGGGACTTCCTTTCAAACTTTCAGCCACGAGCACGGTGCCGCCGCCGAAGAACGGTGTCATTTTTCCACCGTTGGAAAATTCTCTCCCCTTTAAACCAGCCAACGTGTATTCCAGCCAAGTGGTGGATAGATAGGTAGGTAGGAAGGAAGGAATTAGCTGGAGGACGGGTTAAAGGATCACCTTGGTGAAATATATTCCGATACGCGAAGTAACGAGGGAGGAAAAATATTTACCGCGCGCGCGTAGCGATAACAAAGGATGAGGGTGAACGATGAATAATGCATACTCGACGGAGCATCGCGAACTAGCCCCCTCTGCGTTATCCACCATTCGCGAGCCCCTCTTTTGTGTGTCCGAGCTCGAGACCGCTTCGTTTTACGAGGGCGTCACGCGTTTCCGTACGGCCTCGTAAAATACCCACTCTCGTTCTCGAGAAAACCTCCGATCCGAGAGTGGTTCCGTTCGATTGGATTCGATCGAATCGCACCCCTCCATTAACATTTTATTATACACACCGTTGTATCGTATACCGCCTCCCGTACGTTTTAAAGCGCGTGACGACGATTTTCGCGAAACGAAATCGCGTCTCTTCTTGGACGATCGATCGATGACTCGCCACGACGAATCGGTTCGGTCGAATCGAAAGGAAATCACGTTGTCGAGAAAACCGTCGGTAAAATTCGTCGCGCGATAAATCTCGCCTCCTCGAATAACACGTACGATCGACGAGATTGGCGTTGAACGATCGATCGATCGTTCCCTTCAAAACTCGCGACTCCGTTCGAATCCGTCGCGTCGAAGGATTTTTATATTGGAGGAACGCCAGATGTAAGAACAAATTTTCGAATAATTAATATATATGTGTGTGTGTGTGTGTGTGTGTGTGTGTGTGTGTGTGTGTGTGTGTGTGTGTGTGTGA